CTCTCTCAGGACATTTGCCTTTGGAATGCAGCCACCATATTATAAGGAAGCTCAAATTGTGTCAAATGGCCAGGTGTGGGGTGCTCTGACCCACCAGCTAGATCTCAGCCAATGCCAGCACGTGTGTGAGCCTTCCCATGACCCCACACGCTGCTCTCACCTTCCAGCAGAGGCCCTACACAGCATGTGCAGAGAGGCAAGATGCCCCATCTAAATTCCCGCCCCCAGAAGCAATGAGGATAATAAGCAAAGCATGGAGATAACCCATGTACTGACTTGGGATGTTTTCCCCTCTTGGCACCTGACAAGTCTTCACGGGAGGTTCATGGGCCCCTCCTCCCCTTTTTATGTAGTCAGAAATGCCTTTAAGTGATTCTCCCTTAGGAATCCTACTCCTTGCAATGGATTTTGGAAGGGAAAAAAACAAATACAAATTTGTTAGCTTACTCACTTTTGAGCGTTTTTATGTACCAGACTTTAAACCAACCTTAGGGAGCCTAGAATCTGGTGAAAGAGACAAACAAAAAAAATAAAAACTGTGGATAAAATGAAAAATTCCTGTGGCCAGGATTCTCACCTGGCCCTGGTTGGCTAGCACACTACACACGTGTGGGCAATACGTTGCTATTGACTCTATATAAAGAGCTCGGCCCAGTGCTCCAGTAACTTCCTGGCACAGCTGCAAGGCTGCAGGAGAGCAAAGCAGAGGACAGAGGCCCAGAGGCGGAGACTGGCTTGCTGCACGCAGACTCACTCTGAGTGAATGAGATTCTAGTGATTGACCAGCACCGTGGAAATAAAGTTGGGTATAACTCTTTCATCCCAAGAACGTTCCACTGGCATTTCTTTGGTCACATTGAATCCATAGTGAACTTGCCCAGGGCTGAAACCCACTGGCAAGAAAAAACTAACAGGAGAATGTGACAAATGCATCCAGAGTGGATTCATACTGTGCTAGGGCCGGGAGAAGCAGCACCTGATGTGGCCGGCAGGGCCAGAGGCGGCGGCCGGAGCCTAAGCTTGAGAGCTCAGCTGGGATTGGCTAACCGGACAAGGTGCAGGGCATGGCAAGAGCAGGAATGGACTCCAGTCATCTGTAAGGTTGGTGTCATCTGCATCTGTGGTGTGGACGAATTTTTGTATTACTCATATCCTATCTGCCACCAGCTCTGACTTATTTGGGGGGCAAAAGACTAAAGAAATAGAGAAGGTGAATTAGTCCTTGTGAACTCCTGATCAAACACTGGCTACAGTGAAATGTTTTGTTTTTTTATAACATCTGGGCATGAACATTCAGAGTGGCTGGCTGAGAATGTCTGCCCTTTCAATGCTTTTAATTTCCCATCATCAGAAATAGCTCTTTTCTCTGCCTGGTGGCCTCATGCCTGACATCCCGAGGAGATGAACAGGTGGTCACTGCAAGAGTTGCTGAACCTCCATGTTCCTTCATTTTTAGCCCCTTCCTTCCTGGCAGGTCCCCTTTCTATCTCATTTTCACACAAGTGCAAGAATAAAATCATCATCCTGCCAGATAATCCTCAGCACAGTAAGTCCTGTTTATAATAATAATTAAAAATTATTTTGAGAAGAGAGAAAGAAAAGGAAATATGGCATAGACTTTCTGGAAAAATTGGTGGGGGTGGGAAGAAATTTTCAATAGTTTTCTTTCCCTTAAAAAAGAAATATTTTTTAAAATTAAGTATGTTATTTGAAAATCATTTTCTATGACTTCTCCTATATTTTGATTTACAAATCTATGTAAGATATTTTAGGGTTTGAACAGACTGTATAACTGAGTTTTGGTAAGTTTCATGACTTTAAGATTTAATTCCTCCATTCATAAAATGGAGCTAATATCGGTACCTAATACAGGTATTGTAAAGTTTGAGTGAGAGAATGATGTGGAGGAGGACCTGCCCTGGGCTAGGACCTGGCATACAGTTAGTGATATCTCATTGTGGTTTTAATTTGCATTTCCCTGATGATTAGCAAGGTGGAGCATCTTTTCATGTGTCTGTTGGCCATCTGAATTTCTTCTTTGGAGAAGTGTCTGTTCAGATCCTCTGCCCATTTTTTAATTGGATTATTTGCCTTTTGTTTGTTGAGGTGCATGAGCTCTTTATGTATTTTGGATGTCAACCACTTATCGGATCTGTCATTTATGAATATATTCTCCCATACTGTAGGATGTCTTTTTGTTCTACTGTTGGTGTGCTTTGCTGTACAGAAGCTTTTTAGTTTGACATAGTCCCACTTGTTCATTTTTGCTTTTGTTTCCCTAAAGCTTCTGTTCTTAGTGATTTTTAGAGCTGGAACAATGGTTCTTAAACTGGTTTCTGAGTCGTGGATTCCTTTTGAGATTATTACAGAAGTTATGAGCTCTCTCTCCTGGAAAATGCATACACACATCCACAATGTTCCCAGCGCCTCTGAAGACCAGCCACACATGACTGGTTAAGAATCCCTGCTCTACAAGCCAGTGGAGTTGTTCCACCAATACCAATACTCATTATCAAACAAATTGCCCTCTCATGACCTGATACTGAAATACACATTTGGAATGTTGCAGTCAGTCAGGTGTCTGGTCAAGAAATGAAGTCTGGGAGTCTACTGGCAAGTTCCTCCTTTGCAGTAGAGCAAAGGCTCACAATAAATAACACATCGGAGCCTTCTTCCAGCCTGTGTGATTCCCCCATATTCTAGCAGCCCACACAACAAACTAATGTGTGAAAGGCACATTAGTTTGTCTTAATCTGAGCAAATCAACAGCTTTCAGAAATTGCAAGAAAATGAAGCAACAGAGAAAGTAGAAATTGCCCCTAAAAACAGCTCAGAAAATGGAGCTGATTAGGTAAATTGTGTTCCCCTGCTATCCAATGGATATCAGGAGTCATGATCACCAATTACTGTTATCAGCCTCCCGAGAAGCATCCTGCTCACCTGCTTGGCAGTCAAACCCAACAGATACTAGAATGGATTTTAGAGCCAGGAAGGCCTGGATTTAAATCCTGGATTTCTTTGCTGTAAAAATTTGTAGAGGTGGTTTAGCTTCTCGGAACCTCGCTTTCCTCATCTGTAAGATGGAGATAATGAGAGCATCTGTCTCATGGGATTATGAAAATTAAGTAAGACATATACTCTCCCCAGTCCTTAGGAAATGCTCAGTAATACAGCTGTTGTTACGAACAGTAGGTAAGGGCGATGACAGCATAGGCTTTGGAGTTAAGAAAACTTGACTTGAAATCTTCACTCCACCAATTAATTACCTGTTTAATTTTGGGCAGGTTACTTGACCTTTCCAAATGTCCGTTTCTTTAACTGAAGTAAAACGGAACCTATTTGGAAGGGCAGTCCAATGAACTACTGCATACATGTGCTTAGCTCAGCATCTGGTACATATTAAATACTCAGTGGCAGTGATGATGGTGAGGAGAATGATAACGGTAATAATAATAATTAATATTTAGAAAGCTCTTCCTAAATGCCAGGAACTGTTCTAAGCCCTTTATTTGTATTACTTCATTTAATCTTCCCAACCAATGAGGAAGGTCCAGTTGTTATCTCCTCTTTACACATGAGGTTTGTAGAGCCTAAATAAATTGTCCAAGACCACAGAGCTGGTAAAGATTTTAATTTCAGCAGTCAGACTTTCCGTCCATGCTCTTAACTAGTGATGTCCTAATGATAAATTGTCAAAATCAGCCCTTGTAAACAGCCATTCAGGGTCATACCAAGGATGTGCTTCACTAAGGTCAGAGGCATTTTTCCATTTTGGGCTGGAGTTCCCTCAGCCGCCCTCACCAGTTTTCATGGCCCCCTGAAGTGCCCACTGCCCAAGAGCAGGTACATTAGTAGGGCTGGATGTTGATCCATGGGAACCAAGACTGCTTTCCCAAACCCACTGGGATCCACTGGGCTCAGTCTGCCAATGGCCACCAACCGTTCTAGCCTGAGAGGTGCAGCCCTTCTGCCTGGCCACACAGAGTGCTCAGGGTTTGCTTGATGATTTCAAAAGGGGAATGTGTTGAGGCAGAGGGATTTTCCTGCATGCTTGTTTTCCTGCTTCACAGCAGCTCAGGCCGGCCCCAGAGCCGGGGGTGTGACTGGGAGCCTGGGCTTATGGTGTCTGTGGCCGTCTGCCCTCCTCCGAGAGTCACAAGGCTCCCCGGTCATGGTTCACGGGAAGCCAGAAGAGCACCAGGGAGAGGTGGCTGACGTCCGACCTGGTCTAAGGGATGGGAATGCACATAGCTCAATTACAGCAATGGCCAGGGTCAGAGGATAGAATCAGTAAAGGAGAAAGAGGAGAAATCAGCCCAGCCCTTCTTGGCAGTTGGCACAGTGGCAGTGCCAAGAAATGGCTTTATGGGGGTTAGTCAGCCCCTCCTGATCTCCATCAGTGCTGCCCATTCTCCAAAATCACCCCAAATAAACATACAACCTAAATTTCAAGGCATGCCCAATCTTCCTTCTAATGAAACCGCTGCCCCTCTTGCTTCCTGTACAAACATGTTGGCCACTGTGGCTGCTCAGCCTCCTATGGTGTAGTCAGAACATAGAAGGTCTGTGCGTGTAGAAAGGGAGTCGGAGGCAGGGAGTCTGGAAATGCAGGGCCGGCCCCCTAGGTCTCATTACTGCAGGCTGTGGTGGTTCTCCTCTCTGGGATGTGTGTTCTGCAGACCCTGCATTCCACTTAGTCTTTGCCTCTGGTCCTGCCCAGAGGGTCAGTTTCACAAACCACATTTAGGAGCTGCTCTCTGTCCTGGGAAGAATTCTAGAATGGAGATCTGAAAGGAAGGGGCATGGAGGCAAAGACAGTTATGTTCATATACAGATCATTCCAGGCCGCTGGCTAGACTTCTCTCACTGGGCGACAAGGCTAGTGGTTCCGCGAGCTTTGGGAGATGGAGCACCTGGGTTTCAGTGGGCAGAACCTGTTAGGGAGTTGTTAAGTGGCCTCTTATCTGTGCATGATCTAGATGAGATAGAAGGTATTCTCAAACTAGGACAGGCAGCAGGAAGCCAGGAGGCAGATTCACTTGCGATGATGAAAACTGGAATCCAAAAGATGGCCAGGTGGGGTAGAGAGATGAACCTGATGAATCACAGCAACAAATATGGTCCTGTATTTGTATCCAAAAATAACACACAAAACAACACCTAAAGGATGTGGACTATGTTCAGACTGTAACTCAACCTTGGGCACAGAACAAATCTTTTGAGGTTCCATTTCCCGTTTGGAAAATTGGGATACTATTGAGGATTAAAACAGTTAATATAGGCAAAATGCTTCGCACAGTGAGGACAGTCATGATGGTGACGGCTAGCAGTTAGATGGTTCAGAGCGTGCTCACACCCAGGCAGTCTGGTTTCAGAGCCTGTGTTCTTAACTATCATGCTATACTAACTCTCATGGTAAGTCTAATTGCTAGAATTATTACTGACTAGGGAGATGTAACTGAGCCACAGCAAGTGTGAAAATGACTTTAAGGATGTGGTTGGCAGTCAGCTCAATGGGAGTCACACAAAGAGCGTAACGAGGTGGAGACAGTTTTCAGTAACTTTTCGCATTGGGTCATCACAGGCGGAGGGGCTTAAAGAAAGACACACACACAGCAGGACCAGAGAAGTATTCTCATGGCCAACTCACAGCATAAGAATAGCTGTGGGTCTGGGGGTGTTCTCCCTGAAGAAATGACTTGGGGGTGACATGACAGCTGCCTTCTAAGGCCTTGAGCCTGCTCTGTATGGACCCAAGGACTGGTCAAGTTGGCATAAGCTCTGGGTAGACAGATTTCAGCTAATTATCAGGAAGGCCTTTATGATGTGCTGACCCAGGATGGACAGTGACCATCTTGTCCGGGAGGCACCTGAGTGCCAGCAGAGCCGTAGTTCTAGGATTCAAATACTGGACAGGAGGGTGGGGGCTGGAGAATGCCCACCCGTGACAGTGCAGGACCAAATCCATTGCCCACGTGAAAAACCTAGCAAAGCAGGTTGTTCCCTTCAGGGACACACCGTAATATCTGGTTAATTCTCTCCTCTCTTTTTTAAGTCGGATGTTTAGCTTGTCTTGTCTACGGAGGCCATTGGCTGAGAGCAGCTCTTTGCAGAATGACTTACAGAGAATGGCTTTTGATATGAGAAGCCCAGAGTGGGAGGTATTGGATGAGGGAAGGGAACAGGTAGCTAAGGGGGCAGCAGGGGGACACAGGATAGCTGGGGACGGGAACCAAAGGGGGAGCTGCCAAAACAGCAACAAAAGTCCCTTGAGGCTAGACAGAGCTTTTTAGAGCCTTTTAAATAGTAACAGCTACTCAAAGGAGACCCAGGACCATCAGCACTGGAATCGCCTGGGGCTTGTTAGAAATGGGGACCCAGAGGCTCTGCCCCAGACCAGCTGAGTCAGAATATGCATATTAACAAGTCCCCCAGGTGATCTATGTGCCCATTAAAGGTAAAAGGCACTGATGTGGAGATCCTCTGAGGGGGATCCAGGAGATGAGCGAGTATTCCTCTCTGCAAAGGGTTGGGAGGGGCTGGGGCAATGGGGAGAGCCACTGCGCAGGAGTCTGGTCTCCATGGGGACAGCCAGCTGTGATTCCAGCCCAGCTGCTCCAATTATGTCTGCTGCCGGTTCAGAACAGTCAGTCACATTTGCATAAGGAAGCCGGCACTCGTGGGTACAGGTACTCAGCTGACACCTAATTAAGCCATCTTAGTAAATCATCTGTCCAATGCCTGTTATTATTTTAGGAAACAACATAGAGAGAACTAACTAAAAGTAACACCCTGGGTGGGAATTTTGACTTCATTCCAGTGGTTGGCAAGTAGAACATGTTGGGATTTTTTTAAAGGTAGGATTTCTATATATTTTCATAGATGACAACCTCAAAGCTTATCTCTGCTGCAGCCTTTCTTTGCTTCTGCTGATGCTTTGGGTTTGCAGCTTGGTTCTACTGCTATTTTTGTTTTATTTTTATTTCTTTCCACTGAGCATTTTCTGATTTTACTCTAACTTGCAGTGGGGGAGGGTGTTGTTTCTGGATATTACAAGCCATCTGAAGCATGATATGCTAAACCCAGTTACATGTTGTTTCATGTGAGAAGGTACTTCTACACTTCACACTTGGGCCCATGTGAGGCATTTTCATTTGCGAATTTTTCCATCCTAGACTCCCCTCAAGGTGGCATCTGGGGATTGGGGGCCAGTAGGAAGTTCACCCTTCTGACCCCCACTGCCTGTCTGCAGCCTTCCGCATGGGCATTCCCAACAGACCTCTCCTGAGTGTTGCACCCCCCCATCCCTGGTCCCCAGGGCCCCTGCCGTGGCACCCATCAGGTCCCTCACATCCTTTGCTACTTGCCTGGGCCCGTTGTCTATGAACGGGGCTGCACGGTTAGCAACACTCTTACGGATCTGCCCCCTGTCCCTCCTATGAGATTCGGATCATCCTTCCCTGCTCCCAACTCCATGCTGCCGAGAGGGAACTTGGAGAAGGCAGACCTGCTGGCCCCATGCTGGAGCAAGTGCATCAGAATCTCTGGGGTAGGGCCTGTCTTCAAGGAAGTTGGGAACCACTCAGGGGCCTGTACTCCCTTTTCTCCTCACTCTCAGTTCCTCCTCCAGCAGCCACAGTCAGACCCCACACTCGCCACTCTGTGAAACCGGGTCAGCAGAACAGCCAGGACAGGCCTTGAGCACTAACCAGATCTCCCCAGACCTGACTTTGACCTCTCTGGAGTTCACGCTGGAGGTCACTCCAAGGCTCTCATCACGTTTTCTCCTTCTTGGCCTTCTACCTCTGACCATCTCCCTTGGTGCCTTTCGTGTGAGCCTCTCCTGCCCCTTGTGGATCGGTGGTGGTTTCCCTCGGGTTCTGCTGGGTTCAGTCCTCAGGCCACTGTTCTTCCTGGGAAATCCACATGACTTAATCTACAGAGTACATGCTGATTTATATCTCCTGCTCTCATTTCTCTCCTAACATCATAGCCATCTGTCCAGGACGTCATCTGGATGCCCCACAGGTACCACAACTTCAAATATTTCCAAGACCAAATCCGGAGCTCCCTGCCTGACCCCAACCCCATGCTGGCAATTCCTGCATTGACTACTTACTTAGTAACTCCATCTTTCCTGCCCAGCAGCTGCCATGGAGACCTAGAAGTCATCACACAGCCTTCCTGCTTCTTCATCTACTACATTCAGTTCAGGCCTTCTAATTTCTTACCTCATTAATATTATAAAGCTACATCTCTTCCTTCTGCCTTCTAGTTTAGGTTCTCCTCATCTCTCACTTGGACTGTTAAAATAGCCTCTTCACTGGTCTTGTCTCCAGTCAAGCCCCACCTCGCACAGCTGCTGGGGTGGTATTTCTAAAATGCCAGTCTTGCTAGGTCAATCCTATAGCTTAAAACACTTCAAAGCCCTCCATGGTCTGAAAATAAAATCCCAGCCCCTTAGGATGGCACTGTTGTTGACTGCAGGGCTGGGACCAGGGTGAGGCAAGCCAGGAATTTAAGGAAAACTCCCACCCAAGTGCATATGACCCTGAGAGTGAGCACTGCCTTATATTTTGCACCCTCAGTGCAAAGGCTCTCTTGCCTCACCCTAGTCCCCACCCTGCCCAACTGCATTGCGAGCTCCTTGGCTTAACAGTCCACCCCTACTTCCGAATTCTGTGCTTTGATACTCTCACTCTCCCTGTTGCTAGATCCTCATAGACACTAAGAAGCTTCTCAGAGCTCAGGGTCATCTAGAGGAAACCCCCTCATACCAACGCCTCTATGCTCCCTTGACCCTGTGAACATTATGTCTACCACTTCCCTGACCACAGTAGATTCTCTACCTACTGCGAGCTTCTCAAGGGCAGAGATGGTGTTTGGTCTTCTTTCTTTGGCCAGTGCCTCAGGTGGCATGTAGCAATCAGCTCCAGAAACGTCAGCTGAACTGAATGCAAGTCTGCTCTGGGAATGCGCCTGAGTTAGCCTCAGGCCCATGGTGCAAAGCCCCCAGTTACCTCCCAGCCCCTTCAGAGTGGGATGACCTCTAAGGTACGAACTAGAGCCAGCCCCTGTCCACCCTGGGGCTTGGGAGAGGTGGGTGTTAAACCATCAGCTCTCTAAGGGTGGCAGCCAGAGCTCCAACAAATAACATCTCTTCTGACAAATTTACTTGACGTTAGTCTGAAATTTTCATAGGAATTACACAATGCCTGGCCAAGTGCTAATTTCTGAGCTTTCTTCCTGCCAAATTTCCACTAAGCTGGCTGTTTGCTAATCTCATAGCAGTGATGTGTTTTCTTGCAGGGAACACAAGTAGCTTTGGGAGTTATTCTGAAGCCTCATAAAACTGTTCTTGGGGCCATTTTATAGAGAGAATCAGCCCCTTGGAGAGCATCACTGCTACCAGGAGAGGTCCTGAGAGTGTCTGCACTGAACATCCCTGAACCCTGTCTAGGAGGGACCTGTCACAGAAGAAACAACTCTAGGGTAAACAACATTCCTTAAGATCCAATATCATGAAGTTCGCTTTTTTCATGTTATCTGAAGTTCTTTCTAAACTGTGGGTCTGATATCTCTAAGGACCGGACCTGTGCTGTGTATGTGACTGTATGTTCTCCATCCAGGCAGGACACACCTACCTAGTTCAACATTGTGTCCCTGGGGCTGGCACAGTACCTGACCCATAGTGGGCACCTGGTATCTGCTGGTGATGGAGAATGGGAAAAGGAAATGTAGGGAGTGGACCTGCAGCTGGAGGTGCTCATCTCCGGAACTGCAGAGCTGAGGGTGCCATCCAGAACCCCAGGCTCTGGCTTCCACTTTTAGTGAGGCCCCAGGGCGCTGCCTGCTCCTACACTCCACGGACTGATGGCCAGGCCTGGAATCCTGACTGCACCAAGAGCTGGGGGACATCAGATGGCAATTTTGTCCAATTCTGACCGAGCGGAAACAGAAAAGTTAGCATCCAACCCAGAGTCTTGGCTGCTGTCATTCTTCTAGGTAGACCCTCGGGGAGTTTGCTTTTCTTCTGGACGTGCCATCTCCCTCCTCTAGTCAGCCTCTAGCTCCCTTCAGAAAAGGTAATGGTGA